TTGCATGACTAAAATGATTCAAATAAAAACAAGACAAACACCAAAATAAAAAATAAACAAATCTTTAAGTATTTTATTTTGAGCATGTTATCAGTCTGTGCAACAAATGCATTAATTCAATTTAAATAATAATAAAATAAATTATTTGGGTGTGATTTAGCTGTTTAAGTTCTTACATTAATTCAGGGATACGTATATATTTATATAGAAATATATATTAACAGTGGCTTCTTCAAAAAAGAGAGTAAGAGATAAGTATTAATATAGAGCATTAAAATATACACATTTATTATGAGAAATATGTATATTAAAACCAAGCTACTTAGTTAGCCTGGGAGCACAGTGATACCACGTTAGAGCAAATAATTATTGCATGAATACATGTAATAATACATTTATTTTTTGTAAAAATATATGTTATATGGGAGTTAACTGTCTTAACAATTTTCCACGGTTAATGGGAAACTTCAGACGCGGGCTTTTGTTTTTTAATAATCCTTTAAAATGACCAGTTGACTGTGACTTCCGGTCTGCCCTATTTTGTTTTTTAAATCAATGAAATAATAATTTAACTTAACTAGTTAAGACGTACCTTAAATATTTATGAAATGCAGAAATATTATTAAAGAAATAGCTGGTACAAATGAATACAGTCAAGAAGTTAAAACCTATTTTATTTGAACTCACCTGTGCGCACCGTTTCTGTGTGTCTCCTGCCTCCGCTCCTCGCCTGGTTCGTGTCCTCGGTACCGGATTCCTCCGCGCTGATGTGCAAAGGCTCCGGGTTCACTGCCTCCGTTGCGTCGTTGTAAACAGGTGAGCCGCTCCTCCTGCTGCTGCTGCTGCTTCTGCTGCTGTTGCTGCTGCTATTGCCGCTGCTGCTGCTACTGCACAGCAACAGCATGAGTGTGACGAGCCAGAGTCTGCCGGCACCACCGAGCATGGCTGCTGCTGCACCTGACTGGGACAGAACACCTGATGTGAGGAGGCACCGCTGCACCTCTTTATATATCCTTCACCTTCAGTGACAGACACCTCACAATGTCAATACAATTGGCCCTAATGCTTTTACACACACCAGGGTAATCACTACTGGTCACCACTATTCTGGAAGCCTCCATTCCTTTACTTTACACATAAAATAAATAAAATTTTAAAATACGCATAGTTTTAACTGAGCAACACCACAAACCAATATATTTGACCAATCTGAGCAACACCACAAACCAATATATTTTCAACATTATTTTAAAAAATGCATTTAAACTAAGACTTAACTATAATAGAAATGAAAACAAGAAATGTATTTATTTAAAAAAATACGCCACAAAAACAAGTTAGACTTGAGTTAAAAAGTAAGAAGATTAAGAAAATATTAGATATATAAAATGATTAAATGTGTCATTTACCAAAGAAAACGTGTAAAAATAATAACCTGAACTTTAATGCTAAATTATACAATGGACCAATGTTATGATAGAAATGGCAGACAGCAATGTGTTGTATTGCTGATAAATGGTCAACTTTCAAATATTACATTTTTCAAAAAATTAAAAAAATATTAAACATTTTATTTGGAAATATTCAGTTATGCCTTGATTATTTCTAAACAAATCATATATATATACATATATATTAATATACATTGTTTTTACTCACATTTCAGGTAAAAGGGAACCCGTTGGTTATAGTTTAGTAAAAGCCACAATTATAATCTATGGTAAAGCGACCTCTACTGGATTAATACATGATTACAGTACAGGAATAACAACTACATTGTTATTATTATTATTATTATTATTATTATTATTATTATTATTATTATAAATAAATAAATAATGATTAAGTTGTCTAAAGGTAAGTAACTTTATATACATGTTCCCATAGTATGCGTATAGTCACTCTGTAATTAATGCAAAAAGGAATTTATAATGTTCTTAGATAATTTATCCTTATTTTACCTTTATATACTGCTCTCCTGCTTTCATTAACACAAAATGCACTTTTATTAAAATACTCCAATGAAGTGTTTAATTATTATTATTAATATTTTTGTCACCTAAAAATTAATACTTTTTTGTCACCTTATTAAAAAAAAGCACCTACCTCTTACAATATCTTTAGCCAAAAAAAGATTAATTTCAGAAAGTAAAACGGAGTATAAGTATTGCATTTATAAATCATTGTTATGGATTAAACATTTACAAAGTATTTAAAGAGGTTCGTCACGTTCGAAAGCACTTTACAGGCCTATGACAACTCCCAGACGCTGGGGGCGCCGTACTAAATAGTGCCTTTTCTCGGCCACCTCGTACACGTCATGCAAACTGCAGACTGAAGGCTGTGCGCATGCGCTCGCAGATCTCTTTCGGCATCTGAGGTTGGACGTCTCTGAACGGTGAGTCGTTTTCTTCTGTTTCTCTCAACTAAAATCCTCGTTTTTTTCTCATTTATATTCGAAATATTTCTAGCAGACATTTTGAGACTAACTGAATTATACATAAGTGCATTTAAGTGCCTTTTTACTGTTATTTCGCTAAATGGTAACTTAGTCGAGTTGGTCTTGGTCCACGTAAGCGTCACTAACGTTCTGTATTAGGTGTCAAACTGAAATGTTATGTTTTTGCTGGGTTTACCTCTTAATGTTCTCACTTCTGTAGTGAAACGTTATATGTTGAACAAATGAGTTTGAAATATATATATAAACATGTATATATTTGAGTGCAAGCGTACACTAGCTGTATCGGTGTGCGTGGAAAAAAAAATTAGCAAAACCTAGCATTGCTTTTTGTTCTGGTTCCAAGACTCAACATGTAGCTTTCTAATAAAATGTATTCATATTTTTATTTAAAGTAAAAATAATTATATAATGTCACTGTGCATTGTGTATGAGTTTGATTGTTGTCATTAATTAATCAAGCATAATACTACACAGTACTACAAACTAAGTATTATTTAAGGGTTTGATTAATAATCTAGGAACAACAATTGCGTGTGTGTAACTCGTGACCCTTGACCTCATCAATTCAAATGGTTTGTTTTACACTTTGGTCTCATTCCCTTTTTAGACAATGAAGACGCTGCTGTTGCTCGCTGTTTTGGCCTTATTCAGTCTGGGTTCCACAGAGGAAGGAGCCCGTCTGCTGGCCTCCAAGTCTCTTCTGGACCGCTATGCCGTGGAGGGCCGTGACCTCACCTTACAGTACAACATCTACAACGTTGGCTCCAGGTGAGGATTTGGGTTTGATTTTTGAAATGAGCTTTTTTTTGTGTGTGTGTGTATTAGAAACCAACGAAGAAGCTAATTTGAAGAAGCTAACACCCAAATATTGTTTTAACATGATGTATGTTGGCTTGTTGTTTTGTAAAAATTACAAAAAAAATATTATAAATAACCAACGTTTTTTTTTGTCTCTCAGTGCTGCCCTCGAGGTGGAGCTTTCCGATGATTCCTTTCCCCCTGAAGACTTCGGAATTGTTTCAGGAATGTTGAACGTGAAATGGGACAGGATTGCCCCGTATCCTAAACCTCAAATGATTGTCTTGTTGTCCTATCACGTCATCACGCAGTGATTTTTGATGCTATTAGATGTCATTAGTGGTAGGTTTTATAACCATAGCATTTCAGCTCATTAACCCAATTTCTGTTTGTTGCTAAATCTAGAACCAATTGATGATGCTTGCCCCTGTGAGAGGATGTTAAACTTACCGTAATTTCCGAACTCATCCTAAGACATCGCAGGGCTCAAACTGTTCTCAACGTTCTCTCCCACGCGCACCACGCACATATACGCACACAGCCAATCACGGACAGACATACGCTACTAGTATAACACACCGTAGCCTACCAGAAAAGTCATTAATCGCTAGTGGTATGAACTCCGTTAGCCTGTTAAAATCCATAAATTAGCAACACCATTTTTTCAGCTGCAGGGTTCAAAGCGTGCGAAAAAAGTAGCGGCTTATAGTCCGGAAATTGCGGTAAGACCTAAAAATTGTTACCATTGTCCTGACACCGTCTGTTAACATGGTTGACCTTAACTCCAGTATGTTCAGAGCCAGTAATGTCTCTCACACGGTGGTGTTGCGTCCACTTAAAGCTGGTTACTTCAATTTCACCTCTGCGACTGTCAGCTACCTGGCCCAGGAAGGAGGCCAAGTTGTGGTAAGAAAAAAATTCATTTTTTGTTCATAAAAGTTGACTTGTGAAGTGTGTGATTTACGTAAGAAGTCATATTTTCATCCATTTTTTTTTAGGTTGGCTATACCAGTGCTCCAGGTCAGGGAGGCATCTTGGCTCAGCGCGAGTTTGACCGCCGCTTCTCCCCTCATTATGTAAGTGATGACTGAATAGCTTAATGCATTGTTTCCCAAAGACTGGGTCACGGCCCTCAGGTGGGTCGCAAGAATTCTTTTTTTGGGTCGTTTCGCATCATTATATGTATAATGTCTATTGACTTGGGTTGTGACTTTAAACATATGGGTGTAATGTCTATTGACTTGGGTTGTGACTTAAAATAAAAAAACAGTTTGGGAAACACTGGCTTAATGGACCACCAATGGCATTCCATGCTGTTTACTGTTCATTAACTTGGGTCTACAAGATTTATGTCTTGTCCTTTGAACACTCACTTGAATATTTTCTTCTTCTCAGCTGGACTGGGCTGCATTCGGTGTGATGACTCTGCCCTCCATCGCCATTCCTCTGCTTCTCTGGTACTCAAGCAAGAGGAAGTACGACTCACCGAAGGCCAAGAAAAACTGATGCAGTGACAGGACGGGGGTGGGTTTCAGGAAGGGTTAGGGTTAAGGTAAAGGAGGTCAAAGGGTTATGTGGGCATGGAAACCTCAGAGTAACTTATTGACCCATATTGGGGTGAAAAGTGACACAAAGAACAGTGACCAAGATTTGTGACTGTGAAAATCAGTAAGTAGGACAACAGCAAAATAAAAGCAAAAAATCTGTACGTCATCTACAGGAGCACAAACACTCTGTGCCTGCCAACAGCTAAAGACAGGAGCGTTAACATCTGCAGCCGATTATTCCTCAATATTTGGAAATGTCTTCACTCGACCGAGCAGTTACACTCGTAGAATGATGGTGTACCTGTCGTCTTTACAGTTTTGTCACCGTGCAAAAAAGGGTAAATAAAGAAAGTGGACGTTTTTCTAAAACTCTCTGTCTGATTCGTTATTCTACCAACCAATTGGAATTCCAGGTAGTGCTTGGAGTCGGCGCATTTGAAAATGTCGTAACGCACAGTAGAAGAAACCGAGCGCGAGAGAGATTCCGCTATCGTAGACTTGCTTAAATGTTTGGCGAACCAAGATGCCCGAACCATCTACAGTAATCATCCCCCAGAGATTCCGCTATCGTAGACTTGCTTATATGTTTGGCGATCCAAGTCCACTGTATGAGTTGCTGCCACCTAGTGACTGGAGGCTTGTTATCATTTAAGCATTACAGCACTGGTAGACTTATGTCCAGGATGCCATACTCCATTGGAAGCCCTTCATGCTCCCCCTGGCACCCTTAGGGGGGCCCGCCCCACTATTTGAGAAGCACTGATTTAAACTTACATAATTTAGGTCATGAAAAAATGCCTGATTTTAACTTAATTCTTTACTATTATTATACTGTACTATAAGTCTCAGACATGCCTTTTTTTTCATGTTAGTTTTAGAAACAACATGGAAGACAAACTATGTGAGCTGCTGAATGTCATTTTCCGCAGTTATCTGGGCGACACGGGGACAACGAGAGATGCCATACTTATCAGACGATAAGACTGACATTAGTAAGTGGGTGTGATGTGTTAGTCTGGATAAAGTGGATCAAGTCCAGACTAAGACCCCTTCAGAGTTTGTGGAAGAAAATACTCTAATGTGAATGTGGAACCAGTGGATGTGTTAAGGAAAAGTAAACGAATGATCCATGAAGTTAGAAGATGTAGATCATTAAAGGGTTAAGCGTCTGCTTAAGGGTTTGACAATAACCCTGACCAAGTTCACAACAGGGACTTGACTAAGTATTTTTGCTGGGGCACAGAAAATATAGAATTTCACTTACAGATGTCTGAAAACCATTACTTATTTACAATAAATTATTTGTCTTCGTTTGTCTATACAACAGTGACTACAGTCAGTGACTACAAAAAAGAAATGTGGAAAATCACGTGTCTTTCTTCAGTTCCTGTAAGTTTAATAACATTGTGTTCGACTAAACTGGCCCATGGTTCACACTTTAAACTGTGAGTATATTGAAAATAGTAAATCATTATATGTCATTTTTCTAATATAAAATGTGTAAAAAAAAAAAGGTTGGGAAACAGTCGTAGAATATGATGTTTGTTTTGGTTACATTTTTCTACTGGTATTGATCGAATATGGTAATAAAAACAGCTAGTCAACCCCCTGAGGTATAATGAGGTCACATTAAAAATCAGAAACCTGTTCCAGCCTGCTTTTAAAATCAAGGTGTTGCTAGTCTGGGAACTGGTTTCTTTCTTTGGAGTATTTTTGCTGTATTTTAGGGAAGGATATTGAAGAAATGCAAGAAGGACAAAAAAAGCGTTGCCTAAACAAATGACAAAAGACAAAAGGTAATGCTGTTAGTATTAGTGTTTAAAAACCCAACCCAATTGAATAGAGAAAATTCACCTGACTGTGAATTAAATACATAAATAAAAATATACATACTGTACTTTGCTCATCCGTCCATGTTCCGCTTTTTATTTTTGTAAAGCACTGTAGCAAGGTGCAGGAAGTCATGAAATTTTACTGCAACAATGTGGAAAATGAGACCTCTTGTACAACAACAGTGCAACACAAACTTGACATTGTATATTTGTAGCACTTGTTGTGACCACCAGGTGGCGTTGTATTATTAAAACTATCATTACGTACTTTATTCAGTGTTGGCAATCATTTCGGAGATGAAATAAATCAGTAAAGAACTGAAAAGCATCTAAATGTATCAAACTATATCTATTTTGATGTATAAGCTAAAAGTTTTTACTAAAAGTGCATTTTTATTTGTCAATAAAAAACTAAACCAGTGTTAAATATAAAGTTATAAAGTTAAACATAAAGGTATTGCTTTTGTATTTGGGTTAATGTTTAACTTTTTTAATTCTTAATTTCGATAATGTAATGTAATTCATTAAAATTGAAACGTAGGATGCAGTGCTACCGACATTCATTAAAATATCGAATGACAAAATAATAAAAAAAAAAGTAGCTTGTTTGTTTTTCCATAGTGTTTGTCGATAGGAGGAGCCATGAACGCCTCTCCAGGTCATTAAACTTCGAGTGTCTATCATCGGACATGACATCAAACTCACTCCGAGGGTGTTTTCCGCATTCAGGGTCGGACTGAACCGCAGCGACGACGCAGATACGAAGGGTCTTCATTTCCTCCGGAGCACAACAGTGACTCATAGCAGGACAGAAAGCCGCTTAATGGGAACACCTGAGCTGAGAGCAGCGCGTTCGCAACAGGAGAGGACGCTCCATCACCGCTTCACAGTGTCACGGACCGCAGACTGCTGCACGTACTTCACTGTCCATGGTGAGCATGAGAACAACATATATATATTTCTAGAATTTTCTGAATGTCAACGATATTACGTGAGGCGTTTACTGTCACTCGGTAAGCCCGAAGAGTGTACCTGGTTGTAATTATTCAGGGCAGTCGTTCTCTCTTTTTTTTTTACTGTCGAAGACCCAACACATCACGACAAAGTAAAGCGAACATACCATGATATGGGGGATTAAACCGTACTGCGAAAAGTACGGCGTCTCGGATGGGTCGTGCTGCCGTCGTTTTTACACCCTGTTAAATTCTTCAACATTTACAGACAGGCACCAACTTGTATGTTTTGCGACTGCATAGCGTCAGAGCACGTTGGTCCACTTTTGATAAGCTGTCTGGAGGGAATCATGAGGCGTTTACGGTCGAGCTGTGACACTTAAAAGAAAAATGGAAAGGGGTTGCAGTTCTCAATATATTAGTGACGTTTTATTTTCTTTTACAGCTTCAGCTTAGAAAACCTTCAGTTACGATTCACAGGAGATACATTTCATGGTAATTTAACTCTCTAACCAGCGTCCAGGACGATGAACGGTTAGTCTTTTTGAAGGTATGTGAATGAAAGTATTTAGACGTCTTTAACGTGTACAAAAGAGTCTGAACGTGCAGCAGTTTTCAGTTTTTTCCAGTATCTTTTCATCTGTTCACCATTAGAAGCCAATACATTTCTAATTATACAGCACATTAGCCGTCAAAGTCTTCTTGAATCTCGTACAACAATTCTTCTATAACGCTATTGCACATTGTTATAGACTAGAATTTAGACATTAAAGCCGTTGAGCTCGTAATTATCTAAAGAAATGTTAAGCATTCATTGGTTACACTGGGGTCATTATAACAGTCTAAACTAAGCATTCCTTTCTAGAACATTCAATGGGAATTTGACATATCGCCCAGCCCTATTAGTTGTTATAAAAATAGTGACCCAACAATGTGTATTCATATTTACAGTTCAGATATGAGTGCCCTAAAACATATATAATATATACAATATATATATTCTCTTTAACAGATGTAATAGCATTGTATATTTGTGTACTGTATAATAGCATTGATTTGGAAAAGTAAAAAAACAAACAAAAAACAGAGTGTATGAACGAAGCACAATATAACGTTAGTTGTGAAACAGGAAGTAAATGTGGTCTGTTCTGTGAGGTGTAAAGATGCTGGTCAGTGGGTGTCACTGCAGTGTATCAATGAGAGAAAAAACAGTCAGTAAACCCACAACAGAACCATGAAGTAAATGATGTCATTATGTACTGATAATATACTGCTGCTGTGACCAATTCTTTAATATTCTTTGAAACAATTTATGTAATGTGTACATATATTGTGTATGTATTTCCTTTTCAGATCTATGTATACTGTATATATGTTTTGGGGGCCTTTTCAGTAGGATAGTCTTTATTTTTAATGAATGTAAAAACTGTGTCCAGTAATCAAACAATCAATGTCAATACATTTCTTTTCTTTTTTTTCGTTTAGGTGCAGCATTTTGATGTTGACGGTGAAATAGCCAAAGTTTCTCTACCAAAGAACTGGAGAGATCCAGGCGAATCAACATGGCAGTGTTCAAACCTGAAAATGTGGAAGACTTCTATGAGATTGGAGAAATTCTCGGAAGGTATGGAAAGAACAGATTGTTTGTGTTCCGACTGTTGAATGTGGTGTTCAGGTCTTCATACTTGACAGTTACAGTCAAGTAATTTTGTCTTTCAATTAACAAGTTAAATAAAACACAATTCCTGCAAAAACAACTTCAAATCAGCGAGGGCACGAATTAGAATCAACATGGCAGTGTTCAAACCTGAAAATGTGGAAGACTTCTATGAGATTGGAGAAATTCTCGGAAGGTATGGAAAGAACGGATTGTTTGCGTTCCGACTGTTGAGTGTCCTGCAAAAACAACTTCAAATCAGTGAGGGCACGAATTAAAAAAAAATAAAAAAAATTCAACCCTGTAATAACGCAATACGTCCCAAGGGTCCCCGCCCCTCACTTTGGGAACCATTGGTTAAATCCCTACATAGAATGTTCAGCATGTTTTCCAATGGTAATATTTATTTACCTATCTGTACAAACCAGTACTACAAAGTTCATCTTCTACTAGGTTGAACAGGCAGCCTGCTTTGCTGCCATCTAGTGAGCGGCTTGTTAATCGTTCAAGCAAAAATTAAGACAGCATACTGAAAGTTCCCTCTGGCGCCCACTGTGACACCTCGCTAGGTCGTTGTAGGATTCACTAACTGTACTAGATGACTCTGTATTATGTGCTTGCGTCCTCTAGTGGGCACTTTGGTCAGGTCCGTCTGGTCTGTGAGCGGTCTTCGCGGACAAATTACGCAGGCAAGTTCGTGAAGATAAGGAAGAGCGCGTGCAGCCGTTTAGGACAGGACAGAGGCAGCCTGGAGAGGGAGGTCGAGATCCTGCACCTGCTGCAACATCCGAATATTATCTTCCTCAAAGATGTTTTTGAGTGCCGAGCCGAACTGGTGCTCATTCTGGAGTTGTGAGTTTGTTTCCTTTCCATGCCGTGTCTGCAACCTGAAACCCTTTGTTTCCTTTTTCTGAAGATGGATAACAGATAACAGTTTAAAAATATCCTTTCAGTGTAAGTGGAGGGGAGCTGTTTGACTTCATTGCCGAGAAGGAGGTGCTACTGGAGAGTGAAGCGATTACATTTATGAAACAGATCCTGGAGGGACTGAGATTCATGCACGGCAAAAACATTGCTCATTTTGACCTCAAGGTAACATTCGTCGAATGACTTGATGATGTTGAAGGAGCTGGGAACTGTTTCATTGTTACACGACTTGTGCCTATTGTGTCTTTACAGCCAGAAAACATTATGTTGTCAGACAAATCGGCACCAAACCCCACCATCAAACTCATCGACTTCGGCCTGGCCCATCGTTTTCTTCCAGATGAGGAATACAAATGCTCCAGTGGAACACCACAGTACCTTGGTGAGAACCGTCGCCTCTCAATCAGAACAGGGCTTTTTAAAAATGTCTTTTTAATTATGTAATATCGGAAAAATTCATTACGTGTTTTTTTTCCTCCGGTAATGAAAACCCGATAACGCAATGCCTGGGTTTCCCAGATGATGTCACCCTTAAAATAGTTTTTAAGTTAAAGTGAATGTGAAACTATTATTTGTATTGCGTACAGTATTGTCATTGTGACACAGCACACCACTGCACACAATAGAACGCGCCGCATATATCTGTATCGGTCGATAATAGGATAATCGGAATAGGAAATTATGTGTTTGGACAATATTGGCGTGTTGGATATCGGCAAAAAATCCAAATCAGACATCATTCAATCCTTCACCAGCAGGGGTTATTTATACTGTGGTAGCTACAGTATAGTACCCATTTGTTATGTACTAGAGCA